CTATACATTCATGTGGTACGTGGCTACTACCTCATTGCAAATCTTGTGCATTCTCCCGTAAGCAAGTAGAAGAAGGGGCTCGAAGAAGAAGCAATGAACATCACCAAGGAGGTTATTTTGTTGAATACTACAAAGTCGGACAGTCTGACCTGGGATCCGACCCAACGCCCGACTTACCCAAATGCTCTCTAGAAGATGTTGGATGTTCCGACATCAATATCAGCATGCAGTATAACACATCGGACGGTTCGACTTGACGTTCGCCCTCATGTCTAACTTACACAAAGCCCTTTGGACCATGTCAACCTGCCTGCGCGTGGTCAAATTGGCCTATCGTTCCCCATGTAAATGTCTCTTCGTGGCTTGACGATATAAGTCATACCCCTCCTCAAATTTAGGGCAAGCTAAGTTTAAACTAAATCCCGGGAGAACTTTGCTCAATTTATCTCCTCTTAGTAGGATCAGGACCTCATAACTGGATAAGAATCCCCATGGATTTCAGAACCTCTTCTTCTTCTTCTTCTTTTTGTGGTTGAAGACCTCTTCTTCTTAGAAGTTGGGGAAGACTATCTCTCAAGACCTCCACTCCCTTGTTGAATTTGGGGATGAACTAACACCTTGTTGTCTTATTTCTTTGTTCGTTGTTTGTTCTAACTGTTCCTCTTGTATTGACATGTGTTATGAAAGATTTAGATGTGCAATTTGTCTTTGAGGGCTACGCACTTGTGTTTCCTTACAATTGCTCCATGTTTTATCCTGGAATGCACCTTCGGTTTGTGAAGATCGGGCTACCCATACGGTTTGGCCCGTATCACCACGTCAAACAGATAATTGTGAACATTGTGCCAATGGACGTTGACTCTTTCTTTTGCGAAATAATTCTTATATTACTCAATCAGGGAATACAATCATGTTTGACAATGTCCAGAACAACCTCCAACGATGGACCAGTGGCGGATCCAGGACCCAGGCCGGGGGGCCTGGGCCCGGGGCGTGAGGAGCAGTTCCTTCATATACTGTAGCACCGTTGGTACTATTTAGCACTGTGCTGACACTGTAGCAAGCTTGGGGCCCGGGGCGAGGCTCAATCCTGGATCCGCCCCTGCGATGGACGATGACTCGATGAGGTAGTATGTGTGTAGTGTCTAGTCGCGAGATAGTTGTGAAAATCAGGGAATAGTTGAGAAAATTGTGCCGGTGGACGATGACTCGACGAGATATTTGTGGAGTGTAGTAGCGGTGACGATTTTTTTGTGGACTCGGTAAGAGAGGGCGCCGAGGTGATGCACGGTATTATACAATAGGTGATCGCCTAGGATCAGAAAAATGAACCGATTGTTATATTTGAGCATTGGATCACTTTGGATTATTTTGTACTATTTGTTTACGAGCGCAAGGAAGTGCGCCTTTGCTTCTAGTTCTACGGGACGCCTTAACATGTCTCTGTGCCCTTTACATATAGTCCTCGTTGAGGTTTCAAGCAGACAGCCTCTAGTTCTTCTTCTCTTGACCAAGTGTTGCCCCTGTCTAATTATTCCAGGGTCATGACTCATGAGGCCTACTGCATAATCATCATAATGTTATAATCCAGTCACTTCTCCCACTTGTGTACCTTCCACTCTGGTAGCTGCTGTATGACCATCTGCGAAGAACAAATAATCAATCAAAATAAAGAAACAAAACGCGTGTTTGGAATGTCCAGAAAACAGAATGCAAGTCTATATATTTGAAACAATGAGACCTACCTGTCCTGTTGAATCTGGGTTGCCAACCGTGGCCTGGCACGCCAGCCTCCATGACTTGGGTTTCTGAAGATCAACCAACGTTCAGAGTTTGGCACTAAGTTACTACTCCCTCCGTTCCTAAATATAAGTCTTTGTAGAGATTTCACTATGAACCACGTACAGATGTATATAGATGCATTTTAAGTGTAGATTCATTCATTTTACTCCGTATGTAGTCCACTTAGTGAAATCCCTACAAAGACTTATATTTAGGAACGGAGGGAGTAGTTACTACTACTGTCTCTCTTTTTCATATAAACACATTTGATATTTGGGGGAAATTATGAATGGACTGGGATAGAGAGCTGTGCACACACCCTTTTGAGCTTTTCCTTTTCTACTTCGTTTTTCGGAGAAAGCATTTCGCCGCCTTCCACTACCTGAAAAAAGAGAATGTGAAGGGGAATGGATATTTTGAGAGTTTTCCTAGTTGCGGTTGCAGTTAATAGCAAGGATTGTTCCTAGAGATATCCTACAGATGTGCTTATCCAGCACTTGAGATTCTTAAAATTCGGTTACCTCCACGATGCAAGTCCCGCACTCGCCACCCCCCGAGCAGTTGAGCAGCAACTTATCCTGCAGTAGCAGCAGCATCAGCGCTGGTCGGTGATACAGCACCGAGATCAACGAATGAGGGATCGCCGGCGGGCAGGGCCGACACTCACGTAAGGCCCGTAGAGGTCGATGTAACCTTGGAGCATGATGTCCCTGAGCTTCTGCCCGCCGCACGCCGTCCGGTAGTGCACGTCCGGCGTCCCGTCCGGCAGCAGCCGAGGCTGCAATTGCATGCAGCATCATCGCCGGCCGACGAATGGAAACCAAAAAGCAGAGCAAATAACCGACCGATCAAGGCAGAAGAGAAGGACTCACGCTGACGAACGCAAAGTCGACGGACGGCGGCTCCACCGTCGTCTCAGAGTCGGCGGTGGCAGGCTCGGCGCCCGTCTCGACGGCACGGACGGCGCGGAGGCTCCTCCCGCTCTTCCTCCTCCCCTGCTGCTGCTGCGGCAGGTGGACAGAGCGGTGCTGCTTCTCGTTGCTGCTGCTGCAGGAAGGAGCTGGATGATGGGCGGAGGAGGTGCCGAGCAGGCTGATGAACTGCAGTGTCGCCGCCATTGCCGCAGCCTGCGAGCTGCGCAGTCGTCAAGGTTTTTGAGTCTTATCCTGTTCTGCTGCTATATTCGTTTCGGCTTTGTGTCCTGTGGCCGCTGAGGGCTCAGCACTCGGCTTTGTGCTATCAAAATCTTATCTGCTGCTGGCTACCTGTGGCCGCTGAGGGAGGTTCTATTTGGCGACCGGGGCGCCCCAGGACGCGGAAACGCGCGACAGCTATATCCTGCCATAAGAGCAACTTAGCAGACCCTGCAAAAGACTCCGACCCGCAAAATAACCGCCAAAATATGGGCTAAAATGTGGGTCGGCGCGGAAAATCCCGCCGAACAGACCACGCCAACGCGGCCAGCCCGCAAAATTTTTTGAGGGGCACGGCAAAATCTTGGCCCCAAACCATATATTTGCGGGTTTTCGCCTCGCCCCTACAGTGCCCCATACCAAAGTGAAGCGGTTGGCGGGAGGGACATTTCAGTCCGCGCCCCTTTCCCCACCTCCTTCCGCCGTCGCCCGCCATAGGTTCTGCCCGTCCACCGCCGCCGATTCCGGCCAAATCTGCGGGCGAAATCGCGCCGTCGGGGCGTCCCTCACCCTCCGCCACAGCTAGGCTGCACCGCCCCTCACCCCCCCCCCTCCCGATC